GCTGAGGTAGGAGAATCGCTTGAACCAGGGAGTTGGAGGTTGCAGTGAGCCGAGATTGCGCCACTACACTCCAGCCTGGTGACAGAGTGAGAATCCATCTCAAAAAAAAAAAAAAAAAAAGGAATCAAAATCACGAAATTAACACTAACACAATATTATCATTGTATCTATGTAACACTGACACAATGTTTATCTGATCTACACAATTTATTCTGATTTCACCAATTGTCCCACTATTGTTCTTTTTTCAGCCCAGGCTCTAATCCAGGATTTCACATTGCATTTCACTGTCAGGTCTCCTTAGTCTGTTTTAGTATGGAACAGTTCCTCAGTGTTTGTCTTTCATGAACTTGACACTTAATAAACCATCTCTCAATTTCAGTCTGTCTGCTCCCTCCTCAGGATTAAATTCAGGTTATGCATTTGGTAAGAATATCACAAAAGTGATGTTGTATCCTTCTCACTATATCACATTAGGAGATACATAATGTCTGGTGATATCCCAAAGGTTTCTCCACTGTACAGTTATGAATTTCAAAGGGAGAATAGTATCTTCTGAAGACTTTGAAATGATATCTTTTTGTTATTTTCTTTGTTACTTCTATTTTTTAAGAGATGATGTAAATATCCTTTCTCTCATCACACTTTCAACCAACATCCATTGATGATTCTTGCATAAAACTACCATAATTTTTTTTTTTTGAAACGGAGTCTTGCTCTGTTGCCCAGGCTGGAGTGCAGTGGCACTATCTCAGTAAGCTCCACCTCCCAGGTTCACACCATTCTCCTGCCTCAGCCTCCCGAGCAGCTGGGACTACAGGCGCCCGCCACCACACCTGGCTGATTTTTTGTATTTTTAGTAGAGATGGGGTTTCACCGTGTAAGTCAGGATGGTCTCCATCTCCTGACCTCGTGATCCGCCCGCCTCAGCCTTCCAAAGTGCTGGGATTACAGGTGTGAACCACCGCGCCTGGCCTAAACTATCAGAATTTAAAACTAGAATAACAGTGAGGAGAAACATAAACCTATGAAAATTACCTAAAAAACGGGAATGTCCCTGGTCCTCTCTTTCTCAGAGAGCAGGTGGAAGTTATAAGCTGTCCATTTTTTTCTTTCAATTACTAATGAGTCCTGGGCCTCCACTGAATGGCCTTGACCCTACAGACCTTTGAGAGTGCTGTGTCTCATACCTTTGGCTCATTGGGTAATATGGCCTTGTGGCATCCATATTTTAGACTCTTCATAAACCCTACACTCCACGCTAACAGATCTTAGATTTTTCTGTATCTATTTGCACAGGACCTGCTCATCCTGGCACATGTGGTGTCACTTGGGCTGTACCTGTTTCCATTTTCTTCACCATTTTTACAAATCAAATACTTCCCAGAAGTCTCGGCTTGAAGCTTTCTTCTGCATTAAGGCATTATGGGGGTACAGGGCTTAGCTTTTCTTTTGACATTTTTCTGTACTTAAGAATGAAGCTTGGAGCCAGCATGGTGGCTCACACCTGTAATCCCAGCACTTTGGGAGGCTAAGGTGGGAAGATCACTTGAGTTTAGGAATTTGAGACCAGCCTGGGCAACAAAGTGAGACCTTATCTCTACAAAAAAATAAAAAACGAATTAGCTGGATGTAGTTGTGCCCGCCTGTAGTCCCAGCTACTCAGGTGGCTGAGTGGGGAGGATTGCTTAAACCTAGGAGGCCAAGGCTGCAGTGAGCTGTGATTATGCCACTGTACTCCAGTCTGGGTGACAGAACAAGACCCTGTCTAAAAAAAAAAAAAAAAGTTTGGGCCTCAGCATTCGTTCAATACCTCCTATAGCAGGGGGCAGACAAGGAAGGGTAATTCATATCTCTTGAGAAGTAGTAAAAAGAAGTGCATAAAATCAATGAATTGTAAAACAAAGAAAAGAACAAAGCTCATGGAAATCCAAAGAAATCACAGAAAAGGTGGCATTTAAAATGGGCCATGAAGACTGCAGATTCTGAGCTCTGTGTGAAGGTAGGAAGCTTTTAAGCAAAGAGGAAAGCTGGCTATGGGCATAAAGTGATCACACTTACAGAGATATATGCAAAGTGTATCTGGGGCTGAAACAGTATGCATTCTAGAGTGGTTGAGAAAAGGGATCATAAGAGATAGGCTGAACTATCTTATATAGGCCCTTATGCTGTGCAGAGTGGTACCTTAGCCTGGGGTTTCAGGACAATAATTCTTGCAGGAAGATGGAAGGTGGACTGGATAAGGGTGTTATTGGAAGAATGGGCACCATTCAGTAGAGTTTCAGGTGTAAGACAATCACCCAAATGTAGGCAGCAGTTAGAAAGGGGCAGCTGGTTTTCAAGCAACCAGTGTATATTTTTTTCTCTGCAATTCTGAAATCTCAAAAGCTGAAAACAAAAAATTTTTTCCTGAGCTTGCATAAAACATATTTGGTAGAAAAACGTAACCTAAACTGATGCAAAGCTATTTATTATCTTTGTCTTTATTTCACCTAGATTAAAAGACAGCCATAATTCTTTACTGCTCCTCCCATCCACAGGTGGTGTCTGTTTCCCCTCTGCATGAATCTAGCTGGCCTTGTCATTCATTGGCTTAGACCAATAGAATGTGGTGGAAATGAGTCTATGTAGCCTTCAGGGCTGGGCCTTAAGAGATCTGCTTCTGCATTTGCCCATCTTAGAAAGTCTCTTCCAGCAGCCAGCTGCCAGGTAGAAGCCCAGCCACCATGAGCTTATCCATACTGTTAGAAAGCCCAAAGTTGCACGGAGAGGCAAGTTGAAAGAGCACTGAAATGCTCAAATGGGAATGAAGACTTTTTGGATTTTCTAGCCCTGCCACGTCACCAACTGAAAGCAGCTGAGTAAATGACTCCAATCACACCATGCAAAGCAGAAGAACCTGCCAGCCAAACCCTTCCCAAATTCCTGACACAACAGATTTCTGAGCAAATAAAATGGTGATTTTAAGCCACTAATGTTTTGTGAACATTTGTTACATTGCAATAGATAATCCAAGCATATACTTATGTAATTCATGATTTTCCTTGCAGAAAATTAGTAGAGTGTCACCCCAGACCTTACCGAAGGTATTATGTAATATATGATACATGCACATTTTACCTTTCTAAATTGAAAAACAAAATCTGAATTTAGAAATTCATCTGACCCCAAGAATTTTAAGAGAGGATTGTCCTTTGTACTATGGAAATAGAGTTGTCTAGACTCCCTGTCTTTTGCGTTCACTAAATGTCATGCATGATGGTTGAGTCTCCTCCAGTCATTTCATGTATGTATCTCTTATTTCCCCAAACTCAATAACAGTTTCTCTAAACCAGCAGCTAACTTCAGCATGCATCAGTGTCTTTTGGAAGGCTTGTTCAAACACAGCTTCCTGGCTCCACCCTCAGAGTTCCTGGCTCCACCCTCAGAGTTTCTGATTCAGTGGGTCTGGGGGTGGGGCTTGAGAACTTGCATTTTTGATAAGTTCCCAGGGAACTTACCTGCTGTTGGTCCAAGGACCACTTTGAGAACTACTGCTCCAGGGAAAAGTGCTATATTTTAAATTTTAATTATTTACCCACCAGCCCAAGGTGCTTACCAAATACACATGGATGGAATTTCTCCGAATCTTCCATCTTTGCCATGCTTTTAAAGCCTCAACTTTTACTCCCGGAGGTCTTCCTGGCTAGGTCCTAGACTTAAAAGACATTAATTCCTTGTTTTATTAGATTGTCGTTTTTGCTTTCTTCTCAGCACATTCGATAAGACACTGTGAAGAAAATGTCCCTTGTGATCTCTTTTTTAACCTGTCTTGGAACAAATCAGCAGAAATGCCTTCACTGTGAATCAAAGTTACCCTCGATTTATATAGCCTTTTCCTCCTTTCCTTATTTCCTTTTCTTTTGGTGGCTTCCAGATAAAATGTTTCTTGCTACCGTTTCACAAAATAGAAGGAGGGACCAACAGGAAGATAATGTTTTTGTTCAGAGGCCCATCTGTCAAAGCCTGCATTTTAGAGACTGCATTACTGAGGCCCGAAAAGTATAGCCACTCGCTCTGGGTCATACAGCGGATAAACGCAAGCACCCGAGCTCAGTTCTTCCTGACCTGTTACAAACGGCCTCAGTAAATGAGGACCCCCATCCCCTTCCCATGCCAGGAAAGCACCGCTCATTTGTCCTAAAGTTAACTTTACACAAATCACACCTTTCAAGCCTTCTTGAAACTTTTTTTTTTTCCCTCAAGGGTGACGGGACGGTCACGCTGATTCATCTTAGCCAGGGACCGCAAACATCTCCCCTCCTCCGGCCCAGGCGCCGTCACCCAGGCTCCACGGGTCCGCGGGACACAGCCGAGGAGAGCGCCTGGAAGCGTCGCGCCCTCAAAGCCAAGCGATTAAGTTGGTTCCTCAAATTGTTCCCGACAGGAGGGGCAGGAAATAACACCGGGGTCTGGCGGAGGCCGCAGCAGGAGGGGCAGAAGCGCGGGCCGTCTCCCGGGCCGTGCTGGCGGCCTCTCATCGATCTCGGGTCTAAGGTCCGGCCGGGTCATCATTCCTGCCGTTTCCCCAGCATTCGCGGTACCACATCACCCCTGCCTCGGTCGTCGCTCAATCACTCCCTCCGCGCCGTGTCCTGGAGCGGCGGGGTTCCTGGAGGCCTGGGTTTCCTTAAGGGGCCCCAATGCCCGCAGCCCCCGACCCGCCCAGGTGGAAGGAAACAGGTCACTGGCGGCCGCAGGCCCGGGCCAGGCGGGGCCTGACAGAGGCAAAAGCCGGGAGGGGAGCGGAAGACGGCCAGGAGGACCCCTGCGCCCTCTCCTCCGCGCCGCCGGCCGGGCTGCCAACCCAGCCACCCGGGTGCGACGCGGCGCCTTCTCGGCCGCTGGGAGTCGGGCAACAGGTGAAGAGGCCGGGCGTCCGCTGCGCCTCCGCGGGGCGGTCCCTCTCCTGCCCGCCTCCCGCCCGCCCCTCTCCACGCCCCCTCCCCGCCTCCGGGCCTCCACCGCCTTCCCCGGCTGCCCGGCAGCCTCCCCTCGCTCGCTCTCCTCTTCCTCTAGGGCCCCTGCGCAGCTCGGGAGCCCGCGCACCGAGGCGCTAGGGGCGCCGCGCACTCGAGGCACACGCGCCGCGCCTGGACAGCCCCCGGCGGGCGCCCCCTCGCACCCTCTGCCCCGCGCCGGCCGCGCTCCCCTCCCCCGCGCCTGTGTCCCAGGGGCGCAGGGCCGCGCGTCCAGCCGCAGACCCGCCGGGGGTCCCCGGGGACGCGCCAGCCCGGCAGTGGCTCGACGATGGAGGATCCGCAGCGCGCCCGCTCGCACACGGTCACCACCACCGCCAGCTCCTTCGCAGAGAACTTCTCCACCAGCAGCAGCAGCTTCGCCTACGACCGGGAGTTCCTCCGCACCCTGCCCGGCCTCCTCATCGTGGCCGAGATCGTGAGTGCGAACGGGCCGGGGGTGGCGGGGGGCTCAGCTGGACCCCGGCGCGTGCTTCCGCCGTGCTTCTCGGGATGGAGCCTGCTCAGATCTTCCCGCGGGCTTTAGGGAACGGTTTTGCTCAGCCTCGCCTTCTTCCCAAAGTGCAAGACTCTCTAAACAAGGTCCAACAAACTCTGGCTCTCCTGGGAAGAAAGGGTTGTGATCCTCAGGATGTATTGCTGTGGGAGAAATGCAGCTTGGTGGGCCCTCTCGGTGCGGCAGCAGATCCTGGGAGCAGGATACTTGGGTTAGTGGCTATTGAGTTTGTGTTGAGTGTCAGAGACACCTGGTGCCTTTCTCACCTGATCTCCACGTGGATGGCTTCCTCCCTGAAAATAAAGTTTTCCTAAGATCAGGGGAAGAGGAAAGGGCTTCTTTCTTTTCCTAATTTATCTCCCCGGTAGTAACATTGAGGTGAGTCAGGAAAATTTTCCTGAATAAAATCCGAGTGCCGCAACCTATTTTAGGACCAAAGAGGTCTTTTGCAAGGTGCTGTGCACATCCTGGTGTAGGCTCAGAACATTCCTGGGAAGGAGGCAGGGCATGGGCGTTCTTCTCTCCATTGGAGGGCATAGAGGCTGGAAACTCACGTGATCTCCCCAGAAGTCCCAGCCAGTCCTTCATGGCTGAGAAAGGACTGGAGCCCTGTCAGCAGCTAGAGGTGGTCACTGTTTGAGTCTTCTTCGTGTACCAGAGTCTTGTCAAGCCCTTCAGATGTCCTCATACCCTCGTGTCATCCACACGACCACCCTCCCCTGTGAAGGCCTAGAGAGGGGACGTAAATCACACCAGTGGATGGTGAAGCATGGATTCAAACCCAGGCCTGCCTTTCTGCAGGGCCCCGCTAATAACTGCGAACAGTTGAGACAGCTTCCAGCTGCCTCAGCAGTGCCCTTCTGCCATCTCTCATAGACTTTTGTTAAATATTTGGGAATTCAAATCGAGCTTATGTAGGAGTTAGAGAATGGGCACGCCATCACGGTGCAGAAGTGACTGAAGACCTGGCCAGTTCCTTTGAGAAACCTGAAGTAAATCCTGTGTACCTCAAGTAGCTTGCTTGCTCCCCCAGTCTCGGATCCCACCTGGACCTGCTCTGTGAAGCTCCTAGTGGTCATAGTGCACGTAAGGTATGAGAAGTGTTGGCTTAGCTCCTCTCCCAGCTGGTTGCCTCCGCGGGTATTGAGGACTTCAGGAGACTCAAAAGCTGAAGGTATTAGAATAGCCTCGCAGGGCCTGGCTTTTAGGAGTTCAACAAATATTTGCTGTGCAAATGGAGGAGTTGGCAGGCTCCTGTGCTTCAGTAGCACAAACAAAAGCTAAAATGAGGGAGATGGGCCTTCTACCTTGGGGTGGATTTGGGCCAGGCATGAAGCATAACGCCTTTTTTTTTTTTTTTCTGATTTATGATCAATATGCTCTGTGTACTGCGCTTTTCAGGAAATACAAAAGTGAAAGAAATGTAAATGGCCCACAATCCCATTACTAGAAATAGTCACTGTTAACATGTTAGCATGTATCCTTTTAGATTTCATTTAAGTTGTTTGAAAAAGATGGGAAAACATGTAAGCAAAATCACCCTTATTACTACTATAGTTTTTATTTTTGACAGAGATAATTATGCACCTTTTTTGTTTGTTTGTTTGTTTGCTTTGTTTTGAGACAAGGTTTTGCTCTCTCAGCCTGGGGTGCAGTTGGCACCGTCATGCCACCTTGGCCTCTCCGGCTCAAGCGATCTTCCCATCTTAGCCTCCTGAGTAGCTGAAACCACAGGCATGCACCACCACAGTTGGATAATTTTTATTTTTTTTTCTAAGGACAGGGTCTCTCTGTGTTGCCCAGGCTGGTCTGAAATTCCTAGGCTCAAGCAATCCTCCCACCTTGGCCTCCTAAGGTGCTGGGATTATAGGCATGAACCACTGTGCTCCACATTATGCCCATATTTTAAAGATTCGGTCCTACAGGCAGAAATGTATGTTTCTCTGACATCTTCATCTCTTAGAGCTCTAAACAACATGTTTATCATGCTGTTTTTTGGTGTTCCCTCACCCACCCAGTGGTAGACATTATCCGTTGCCTTTCTACTCTGAAAGGTGAGGCTTTAGCTGGGATGCCCTCTTCCCCGCCTCCAATTATACATACCCTCTTCCTGTCTCCCAGTATAGGTCCCCACTTATGATGGTTCAACTTAGGATTTTTCAGCTTTACAGATGTTGTAAAAGCAGTATGCATTCAGTAGATATCATACTTTGAATTTTGAATTTTGTTCTTTTCCCGTGCTAGTGATACGCGGTAGATATTTTTTCATGATGCTGGTCAGCTCTCAGTCACCCACGCCATCACCAGTGCAAACCACCCATCCTCTCCAGCGTGCTGTGCTGCCGGGTGATTCTGCCAGCTGTAAGCTAACCTAAGTGTTCTGAGCACATTTAAGGTAGGCTAGGCTCAGCTATGATGTTTGGTAGGCTGGGGTATTAAATGGATTTTTGACTTTGGATACTTTCCACTAGGGTGGGTTTATCAGGACGTAACCTCATTGTAAAGTCAGGGGGCAGCTGTGTAGTCTTCAGGTGATTTGGGTTAGATCAGCAGCCAGTGTTGACCTATGACACTGTACATGCCACTTACAACTGACCCACTGAGTAGACTATGAATGCTTTTCCTTTCCTGCCCAATTTCTTTTTTGCCCTAGTGTTAGTAATTCTCTTTTTTCGTTTCATATTTCTCCAGCTATTCAGTCACTAATTTAACCCTAGTTATTTAAGTCTCCTGTCAAGAAGCTGAAAGACTTCGGGTATTCTGTCAGAATCACCCTCATGACCGGCCTCTCTGGGAGCCTCTGGCCTGGTGGCCTGCGCACAGCTGGCCGAGTGGGCTCTCCTGCACCATCACCCTGGAGATTCTCTTCCTTTCTTTCCTGGGTTGGATCCTCTGCTTCCCATGTCCAGTGTCCTCTGTCTTGCCTTGCTTCCACTGGGGGCACACAAAGCCTCTTGTGGTTTTCTAAGAAAGCATGCATGTGGAAATGGAAATTTGCACCTTTCAGAATATCTTGATTCTATACACAATTCTTAGTTCAACTAGGTAAAGAGTGTTAGATTGAAAATGTTTTTTTTCAGGATTTAAAATGTATTCTTTTATTGTCCTTTAGCTATTCTGATCTAGTTTTGCTTTGTTTTGTTTTGTTTGAGATGGTGTCTTACTTTGTCACCAGGCTAGAGTGCAGTGGTGTGATCACAGTTTACTGCAACCTACCCCTCCTGGGCTCAAGTGATCCTCCCACCTCGGCCTCCCAAGTAGCTGTGACCACGGGCATGGGCCACCATGTCCGGCTGATTTTTTGTGTATTTTTGGTGGAGACAGAGTTTCGCCATATTGCCCAGTCTGGTCTCGAACTCCTGAACTCAAGTGATCTGCCTGCCTCGGCCTCCCAAAGTGCTGGGATTGTAGGCATGGGCCACTGCACCTGGCTGTAAAAATTTTTACTTCAATTATTTATCTCCCTCTACCCCCTGACTTCTGGAAATGTGTTGAACCTTCTTTTTCCCAGAGATCTAAAATATCACAATGATGTGCCTTCATTTGAGTGTGTTTTCTCCCAGTGTACTGGGCACCTGGTGTGTTCTCTCAAGTAAGGGAAATTTACGTAAGCTTTAGGAGACTCCTCCCCCGTTTTACAAAGCTATTTTTAGTAAACAAAATACAATTTTTTTTTTTTTTTTGGAGACAGAGTCTGGTTCAGTTGCCAGGCTGGAGGGCAGTGGGTCTCATAATGTCACTCAGGCTGGAATTGCAGTGGCGCAATCCCAGCTCACTGCAACCTCTGCCCCCTGGGTTCAAGCAATTCTGGTGCCTCAGCCTCCCAAGTAGCTGGGATTATAGGCGTGCACCACCATGCCTGCCTCATTTTTGTATTTTCCATAGAGACAGGGTTTCGCCATGTTGGCTGGGCTGGTCTCCAATTCCTGACCTTAAGTGATCCACCCACCTCAGCCTCCCAAAGTGCTGGGATTACAGGTGTGAGCCACCTCACCCAACCAAAATAAAATAATGGCTCTTTTAAAAGTTTATAAAAAATAAACATTTACACATTGTTGATCGGGCATGGTAGTTCACACCTGTAGTCTCAGCACTTTGGGAGGCTGAGGCCAGCAGATTGCCTAAGCCCAGGAGTTTGAGACCAGCCCAGCCAACATGGTGAAACCTCATCTCTACTGAATGCATGGTGGTAGGCATCTGTAGTCGCAGCTACTCAGGAGGCTGAGGCAGAAGGATCACTTAAGCCCAGGAGGTTGACGTTGCAGTGAGCTGGGTTTGCGCCACTGCATTCCAACCTCAGTGACATTGTGAGACCCTGTCTCAAAAAAAAAAAAAAAAAAAAAAATCACATTCTTTTAAGTTAAAGGTATAGGTTGGGAGTGTATCCTTGGACACATTTTTGGATAACTGTCTTCTCTTCTCAGCTGCAGTTCACTCAGACTGACTTTTACATTACAAATTCGGGAAGGCAGTACAGCTCACTGTGGTTGAATGCATTTGACCTGTGTTCAGTTTCTGGTTTTGCTCTTCACCATGTACAGTGTGAGCCATTCTTTCAATTGGAAAGTATCTCATAAAGTTGTCAGGACCCGAACCACACAGCTGTGCATGAAATGCTTAGCAAAATACCCTGGATTACTCTTCAGTTATCTCCTGTCTCATTGCCTTCTCTTCAGCTTCCAGTTTTTGCTGTTTTGCTTCCAGCCTTTTCGTTTGGTATATTTTAACTCCAGCAAATGCCAGACAAAAATGAGGCAGGCACGGTGGTACACGCCTATAATCCCAGCTACTTGGGAGGCTGAAGCACCAGAATTGCTTGAACCCAGGAGGCAGAGGTTGCAGCCAGAAACCGTCAAACCTTCTAGCTCCCTGGACTTGACCTTCCACAGCTCCCTCTCCTCATGTACTTGTCTGGGGGCTGG